TGTTGGAGTATAGATAGTAGTCTAGGTTTATTAGGATTTCTTTTCTGTTTTTTACCCTTACTAGATTTTTATATTTTGCCTAAACAACAAAGATGTTTAAGTCACTCTGTATTATTTTTGGCTATATATACGGGACTCTACTTTGAGTTTGAGTATCCCTTTCACATATTTCAAGTGGTTCAAAAACACATAATTGTTAGAAAAGGCATACAAGGTTGCTTCAAAGGGAAGATATCATTCTGGAAGTGCAGCTTGGGCTGCATTAAGTAGTTTTTCATTTCTTTTTTTCGGCTGTGTCAGTTCCGCCACTAGTTTGCTTCATCTTCTTCACTAATGGATAATGAGAGATCCAACTCCAGCTCCATTTTCAAAGGCTCTCCTTACAGTTTAAAATCCCCACACCTGTTTCAACTATCATGTTGTCAAGAGTGAGAAGCTTAATTCTCAAAACAGGTAGAAATAGAGTTTAGAATTTCTTGAACAACGGGTTTCTAATAAGAAAACTCATCGAGTCATTTCTTATTTATTCCATAAAATGATCCTTTAATATGAGCAATTTGTTTTTCTGTTTAAGCATCAGCAGCACAATTTGTTCTAGTACACCTAAATTCTACAGCCAGCAATACTCAACCGAGTTTGAACAAAAATTTGGGCTCGATGTTCGAGCTCTAGCCGAGCTTGAGCATGCCTTGAAAAATTCGATCCGAGCCGAGCATACTGAAGCTCGGAAGGCTTGGCTCAATTAATACCCCTAACAACACAACATACTATACACCAAAGACATGGACAAGAGGTACAAGGGCAATGTTAAATTCTATCAATGCCACATTTTGTGGAAGACCATCTTAGAAAACAATTTTCAGAATGCAATTATTTTATTAAATAATTTAGTTCACCAAGTGCTTTGACATGTACTAAAAACTTCGAAACCACAATTGGCATATTGTCAAGTCCTAAAACTACCAATTGGACATTTACATATAAATAGAGCCGGATGTAAGTTTTTAGACAGGCGCTATGAGAGTGACTGGATTGAAAAACTTAGGTTAGGCTCTTCTTTAGCGACTAGACTAAGGTTCGTATGACGTTCTTTTTCTTTCAAATGTGACACACCTATTATTTTATAGAACAACGTCATAGCATACGTTTCATACCGTATGTGCTTAAAGTCGACCGATAGTGAAAGTGTCAAATGAATCTCTGTTTCAACATTGTGTGAGTCACATGGATTCTTTTTCTATATGAAGAGGATGCTCAATGTGCTACTTTAGCATGTACCCTAGGATCACAATTGATTCGGTCTCACGGGGCATGAATTGGAAAGCAGGTGAGTTTACTTGGATTGACATGATGGCTGGGAAAGATTATTCGATAAAACACCATATTTTGGCCTAATTTAGGGGCACCCTTAGAAGCCCGGCTCATGTAGTTGCTATTTTAGCGTCGATCTAACAATGAAAAATACTATTTTAAATGAGCCCGATGTGGGAATACTATTGTAAGATTCTGATCACATGTATAATTGAAGAACTCACCTAAGTAAGAGTTGTGACAAAGTTGTTATCCGGAGAATTTAGTTATTCTCCAGTAACTCTCCTAAAAATTAAGTTGTGTTTGACCATAAATAGTGTCAACCTGCTAAATCAAGTTTAATATTTATACTATGCGTGTACGATGTTAAAATTTGACTAAAAGGACCTAATTCAATAAATAGTTCACCATGACTTTTTTAAATAGAAACTATCAACATTAGGTGTAGGTTCAAACCTAATAACACATACACTGAATACATAGTATATAATTACCCACTTTTCGTAATTTTATAAAGTTTCAAATCTGTAATTTTATTATTTTTTAAAAACTTTTGTGAGAGATTGTTGGAAGTGCAACTTTCTAAATTTTCTTATGGGTTTTGAAAAAAAATTAGAATTAATTGCACGGGAGGTTACTAAAATATGAAATTTGTCTCATTTTGACCCCTAATGTTTCAATTGAATCATTTTGAGACCTTATGTATTGAATATATTTTTATATGGTCCTTCAAGCAAATAATGTCCAAATTATTAATATTTTTTTATTATAAACTTGTCACATAATACCTAAATATGAACAAAAAATAATTTTGATTGCTCTTAAACAAAATTTGGGTAGCTCTTGACAAAAAAATGTGTAATAAGGATAGCTTTTGACCAAAATTTAGATAATTCATGATAAAAAATGTGTAATTTAGTTAGTTATTTAACCAAAATTTGAGTAAAAATTTGGTCAATAATTATCTAAATTATTTTTTTGTCCATATTTAAGTATCACGTGACAAATTTATGATAAAAAATCGTTAATAATCTAGACATTGTCTACTTGAGGGACCATATAAAAACATATTTAATATTTCAGAGACCGAAATGATGTAATTAAAATATTTGAGACCAAAATAATTTAAATTTCATATTTTAGAGACCTTCAATGTAATTAACCCAAAAAAAACATTAAAAAAAGGTCAAATAGTGATGAGCCATCATTGTCTTGCGATGATGAACTATCATTGTGTCATTTTTTTCCACTATCCGTTAGACTCATTTGTAGCAGCATGTACAAGGACTAACTACATGCAACATAGAGGAAAAACTGCGAAAATATTCCGTGTTTAGAGGGCCTACCACATGACACTTTCACATGGTGTAATTATTGATATTAACTGTATCAATAATCACGCAACGTAGCCGCTTCCAACCCTTATTAACACTTCGGTCCCTCTTCTCCCACTATAAATAAACACAATTGCACCATTTGCCTGACATAGAACTACTATAGTATTACTACTTGATAGCTTCGGAGAGAGAGAGAATGGCAGCTATGATGGTCACTACCGCCACCAGCTGCCGCCGGAGTAGCAGCAAGGTCACAATCACTGCATTGCTTCTTATGTTTATGTTGTTGACGGTGTCCGCGGTGCCGGACCGGGTCGGAAAAGTTACAAAGTTGGAAGAAAGCTGCATGAACTACTGCATTACAAACTTATGCCCCTACGGAAAATCGTATTTTGAATGCTCTTCAGAATGTTGGGTAAAATGCGCAGGTCAATGTACACTCGATCCTGGACTCTGCCATTTCAAGGCCATTCTTGAAATGTAGCAACCATGTATGATCTAAATATGTGTGTGTGCAAGGGTGTTTGTGTGGATTTTTAGGTGTGTATGTTTGTAATTGGATAAAACTAGGGAGATATACCTCCCCTTTATCCAATGAAAAAAATATATAGTCTTGTTGTTGTTATGATAAGATGTTCATCATAACAACCCATGCATGCATGGGTAAATATGTTTGGACTTGGATCAATTAATATGTTTTTTCGAGTGTATTTGTTAATTAAAAATTTAAATTTACCCCTTCTTATTTATTTTGAAAGTATAAATTTGTAGTCATACAATATTGGTGACAAAACTCATAACTATCAAAAATCATGTAGATTTTGTTTCGAGTTAATCAATTAATCAATTTAAAGAATATCAATAATGCAGACGATGTGTTTTCTCACCTAACACATCAATGCAAATTTCAATAAACCGTAAGTTGACAAACAAAATGCAAATTAAGTGTGAAAAATAAGACGGAGTAACCCAAATAAGAACAAGATGAATTGAAATTGCATTACTACTCCCTTGAAGATTTCAAATACAGATCATATCAATTCATATTACAGAGGAACTGTACATGCCAATATACACAAAGTCTCCTGTAACGAATAAGAAAGATATGGAGGTTTAGTAGGAACGTAATTTTAGAATAAGATCATATAATCAGAGCAAATAAATTAAAGAAGCAAAGAAGCAGCCTTTAAAAGGTACCTGGACAGAAATTTCTTTGTTGATTGTTTGAGCTACTGTATGTACAAGATTGCTTTGAATGTATATTCTGACACCAAACATACTCAAACCCATCAAAAACACCTAGAAAAAAGACGAAATTTCAGTAGTCAATCACTTATTTGTTTTTCGTTTTCATTTCCATGAAAACGTTTTAACCAATTTGAAATGAAAATTAGTTCTTTGTAGCTTGGGAGTAATTAGTGATGACATCTTTCAATCATAGAATATATATAATGACAATAAACTTGAGTGATTTTTTAATGATGCTGTCTTTATAGTCTTGGTGGACTACAAAACCACATTCCAAAATGGCATCACACACCCATCAAAGGTGATCCTGTGAAGATCCCAAACCATTCAAGTTACCCAAAAACATCAGCAACAGCAGAGTGAGGATTGGACTCCATTAAGCAGTTTTTCAAGCCTAGTTTTCGGAGACTTGACTCCAGTTCCATTTTTCGAAGCTTCTTACACAAAAAATGAGTTTTGGTCTCTCCTGGCAGTTTAAACCCCACACTCTTTCTGGTTAAAACGATCACTTAAGAATCTCTTTAGTTCTCAAATTTGTTCCATATCATTTTATACTAAGACCCCAACATCTACATATTCAAGGATGGGAGTAGAACTATTTCTTTCAGATCAGACAAATAATGAATAATCTGCCTTGAATTGCTTGTAGTCTACATTGCATGCCAATATACAGGACTTTTTGTAACGATTATACTACATATGGAGGTGCAGTAGGAGCAGAAAAATTTGATTAAAATCAAAATCACCACAGCAACCTTTAAAACACACTAATTTTATGGTTGCTTGATTGAAATGTAGGACTTCTTTTAAAGGGGTTAGATATGTAAATCTATGAATGTCAAAGAAATACCAAAATTCATGCACCCAAAACTAATTGGTGGATTAAATTGTTTCAAATAAACCTGGGATTTCTAACTCTCTCAATACACTTTTCTGTAATATTCCCAAATAGTAAATCACTCACCATGTATTGAAAAAGAATCCACTTGTATTCATAACGGGTAACTCATATTGAAAGGTATTGAAGATGCGTATATTATAGGAGACCTAAATTACCATGTATATAACCTTCAAGGCATACAAAAACACTTTCCAAATTGGCATTCGCACACATGAAAAGTAAGTGAAGATTGCAAACCATCAATTCAGATTTCAGAGGACCTTTACATGCCAATATAAAACGCCTAGTGTAACAACTTCAAAAACAAATGGAGGTGCAGCAGAGACAGAAAATTTAGATTAAACGCATAAAATCAGAGAAAATTAAATAAATTGAGGAAACAAAGAAGCAACCTTTGAAAGGTAGATATTCACAGACTACTTGGTTGCTTGTTTGACCTAGCATATGTAATGATTCTTTGAATGGATTAGAAATATAATATTCCTAAGAGCTTAGTAGGATCACAGAAGTCATGAACCAGAACCATAGGGTAATTCTTAACGAGACCTTTCAATCACAAATACATATACATATGTGTGTGTGTGTGTGTGTGTATTGATAATAAACTTGAAAGCTTTCTAACAGATGCTGTCTTTATAGCCATTTTGTACTACTAAATCACATTCCAAAATGTTGTCCCACACCCATGAAGGGTAATCCTGTGAAGAACCCAAAACATCAGCCTTAGCAAAATAGCTGGTTAATCTAGGTACTAAAGAGAATCTTTCAAAGGTTCAAAAACACGTAATTGTTAGCAAAGGCATACAAGGTTGTTTCCCAGGGAAGATATCATTCTGGAAGTGTAGATTGGGCTGCATTAAGATTAAGTAGGTTTTCAAGCCTGTTTGTCAGCTGTATCACTTCCGCCACTAGTCTGCTTCATCTTCATCACTACTAGATGATGAGAGATCCGACTCCAGCTCCATTTTCAAAGGCTTTTCCACCAAAAAAAGAGCTTTAGTCTCTCCTTGCAGTTTGAAACCCCCACACCTGTATCAACTATCATTTTGTCAAGACTGAGAAGCATAATTCTCAAAACAGGTAGAAATAGAATTTAGAATTTTTTGAACTACAGCTTTCTAACAAGAAAAGTCATCGAGTCATTTCTTATTTATTCCGTAAAATGATCCTATATAATATGAGCAATTTGTTTTTCTGTTTAACCATCCTGAGGTAAAGCATCAGCAGCTTGCAACACTCAAACCGAGTTTGAACAAAAATTTGGGCTGGGTGTTCGAGCTCAAGCTAAGCTTGAGCAGGCCTTGAAAAATTCGATCCGAGCTTGAAGATACCCAAGACATGGACAAGAGGTACAAGGGCAATGTTAAATTCTATCAATGCAGCATTTTATGGAAGACCATCTTAGAAAACAACTTTACATGTTAACCAGGTTTCCATTTTACATTAGTCCACATAACTTCTTCAATACTTAAAGTGCAGCAAAGTTCAACTCTTTGCGTCCACTTTGGGATCCACACTCCCGTCCAGTGGAGTCTCCCAAGTAGCGAGCTCCTCGACCCTTATGTCCTCCTCCTCAAACGGGTAATCTGAAAAATATTAGCGATAGGGGGTGAGCACGAATCTCTGTAGAAAATTCTCCCAAACTCATACAAGGTTTAGAAAAGCATTTAAAACGACCGGTCTCAATTTTAACATAACATAGATACATAATTTGAAATAAAGCAGTGACAATAAAAAAGATCTCAAGTTTATTTAAAAACATTACTTAAATAAATAAACGAGCACCACATACAAATAATAACCATTAATTGCCATAACCAATTCCCAACAATTCTTTCGGTAGGTGGCATACTTTGTGGTAACCTCCACCTCCCTTTAGGTCACCTTTGATTCTCAAGCATCCTTACCGGAAATCTCTTGAAAATGGATGAGCATCCTTACATGGAACCTCTCACCACTCACTACATTATTTTCCAAGCATCCTTATTGGGAACCTCTTGGGAAGGGGTGAACATCCTTACAAGGAGCCTCTCACTCATGTGCATCACAAACAACCCAACCAAGTATACAATTTCAACATTTATCTCAATTTATAAGCATCTATCTAAAATTCTCAAAATATATCATATAACAATTCCACAACCAACTAAGAAAATACATGAGATCACAATAACATCATTTTTCTACCCAACACAAAGCACTAAGGTTTCAAAATCCATAATAAAGAAAGCATTTAGGAAGGAAATACATCACTCTCCAAAAATTAGGGTTTTAAAACTAGAAAGGAGATTTCATGGGTATTAAACCCTACTTTGTTCAAAA